TCCTAACCACAGGGCAAAGAAAGACAGAATACGCTTTTGAATACTCTGACTTTAGTTGAGTAACTAGATTAACTATAATACATTCTTTAAACCGAAATGATATATATTAACTATAAATTACGATAAACAATGTCAATTTCATATTATTTATTAATATTTTATGCAACTATTTAAATATTACTTGATGTTATAAATTGATTAAGTTATAATTGTGATTGATATTTAACTTTTTTTTTTGACAAATTTTTTGTCTTATTGTTAACATAATTGTAATTTTAACATACAATACTATAAGAAGTTTTTTTTCTAATAAAGTTTAATAAGTTTTTCATTTTTTAAAAATTTAAGTAAATCAACTTGTTTAACCCACCTACCAACCCGTTATAGTGGGTTGAGTCAAGTCAAGTGACCCACTTTGACAACATTATCGATAATAATTTTTTTAAAGATATTTTTACTTAATAAGTATAAAATCAAAAGAGATTTTAGATTTATTTGAATAAATTTATGCATAAATACATATAAGAGAAATAAATAATAAAAATAAAAATATCGCAAATTAAAATTAAACTAAGCATAAATTAAAAATTAAATTTTAGAATAATTAACATGGTAGAACTTTTACGATTTACCATATATAAGTTAATCTTTACTTATCTAAGAGCCTTCTTTCTTTCTTTCTATGTAATCTTTTTATAAATGTTTATAACCTGAGAAATTTATCCTTATTAGATTCCCAACACACCTTTACTTAAATGAGATTAATGCAATGCATTAGTGATTTCAAGATAAATTTAAGAGTGAAATTGGTTAAATGGATATTAGGTAGGTGTGTTTATAGTTCATATATAGGAGAAATTTTGGTGTGTCTATTAATTAAAGTCTTGGATCAATTTGTGTAGGAATAAGAAAAAATACTAACAAATTATTATTTCTATAAGGTCGTGATCATGCATTAGATATTCTCTTGCATCTCTAGCCAGTAAATTAAAAAGAAGAAACACACAAAGGATAAAAAGGAATATAGACAATAGAGAAATAAGGAAAAAAGTAGAGAAAGAAGAGGGGTTGGAGAGAACCGGAGATCTCATTGATTAGTGCATTCCAAGCATAATCATCTTAATTTTTTTTTTCCAAAAATTAATCTTTATTAACATGATTAACCATTTCTAGTGGATCCGTCACCTAACTAACATCTATAAATTTTGAAGACAGAGACTTTGTTTAAGAAATATCAAATATGAACTAATATGGGTAAAATTATCCATATAATAAATTTAAATATATTTTTAATTCTTTAAATTTATAATATTATTTTTTATTTTTCAAATCTAAAATTAATAATTTAGTTCTTGTAATTTTTTAAAATTTTATTTTAGTCCCGATAATATATCCAAAAATAATAGATTAAGATAATTATCCAGTATTAATTAAAATTAATGTAATATTTTCAGTAACAGAGACATTAATAAATAATTTTTATGCGATAATATTTGACAAATTTTTTAATAAAATTTGAATGTAAGGATTAAAATAATTTTTAAAAAATTATAGAATTAAAATAATTAATTTTAAATTTGATAGACTAAAAATAAATTTATCTTAAATTTTAGAGACTAAAAATATATTTAAGTGGTATATAATAATATTTGATTACATTGTAATGGTTTAAAAACAATGGAAAAGAAAAGAAAAATGATGAAAAGTTAAATGATTTTGTAGGTTGTTTAATTAATGAGTTGAGCTGTGTATATGTAAATGTTTGATGCATTGATCTGAGTATGTGTTTATGTAGGAATGTCCAGATTGAATGCATCTTATATTCAACTGCGACCAACGTGCATGCGTCCTGCTCTTTACAATTCTTTTTATGGCCTCGACAACAAGTACGTCTTATGCTAAAAAAAGCTAACCTAATTGCCTTCGATTTTGGTGTGTAAATATTAATATTCAAAATATTTCTATTAAATATTCAAATATATTCTTTTCAAAAATAATATAACTATAAATAAATATTTAGAATGCAAAAATCTATTAACGCTACTTTAATTTTTTTTTTTTTAAATTACACATTCTCTTTAGACTTGTTTAAAAGCAATTTTTTTTAAAAGTTTTTTTGGATTAAAACATAAGCAAATTTTATTGAAGTTTAATGTTCTTAATTTAAAAATACTCATATGATAAAAAAATAAAAACACTTTCTACCTGATTAAAGATATTTTAAGAAATATTATATATATTTTATGTAAAATTGTAAAAATTAAAATATTTAATAAGCTTTCTTAATCCGTATAAAATTAGTTTTATTTACTTATATATATATATATATATATATATATATATATATAAA